CACAAATGATACATATTTATGATATGTATCAAAATGTCAAAAACAAGCCAAACTGAACTATATATTTCAGATATGCAAAAATAGGTCATCAGTTCTATCAAACATTCAAAGAGATAAAAACTTATAGAAGCTCTTCCAAAGAAAAGAGAGAACCAATTTCACAAGAATGTTGATAGCAAAACCAGACAAGTACAGTGGAGAAAGGAAAAGTTCAAGCCAATCTCACTAAATAACATAGTGGCAAAAAATCCTAAAAATTTTAGATCTCACAATCCAACCATGTATATAAAAGATAAAGCCCCAATTCAGTTTCTCACAAAAATACAAAGTGGGGTCAACATTAGAAACTCTATTAATGTGGCCACACGCTGTGGCTCATGTATGTAATCCCAGCACTTTGTGAGGCTGAGGTGGGCAGATCACCTGAGGTCAGGTGTTCAAGACCAGCCTGACCAACATGGTAAAACCTCTTCTCTACTAAAAATACAAAAATTAGCTGGGTGTGGTGGCATGCACCTGTAATCCTGGCTACTCCAGAGGCTGAGACAGGAGAATTGCTTGAACCTGGGAGGCAGAGGTTGCAGTGAGCCAAGACCGTGCCACTACACTCCAGCCTGTGTGACAGAGGAAGACTCTGTCTCACACACATACAAAACAAAACAAAACAAAAAAAAAAACAAAAAACTCTACTAATGTAACTAACTTACCACCACTTTAGAAATATTTGGCACTACCTAGGAAATCTGAAGATGCACATGCCCTATGGCCAGCAATTCTGCTCCCAAAAGGATATCCCAGAGAGAATTTTGCCCATGTGGGCCAGCAGATAGTTTGTAGCAGCACTGTCTACAAGCCAAAACTAGACACGCCATATAGAAGAATAGAAAACAAACTGCAGTATATTCCTACAATGGTATACTATAAAATAACAATGAACGAACCACGCTACAAAGAAATGGCCAATTCTCAAAAATATTAATATAATCTTTAATGATAATAGCAAGTTTAGAAGAATACATGTATATGATTTCATCTATATAAAAGCCATAAACATGCAGAACTAAGTAAATGTCTAGAAATACACATGCATATGTATGTAAAACTACAAAGAAAAGATAGCATTGACACACAAAATGGAAGACAGTAGTTATTTCCTGGGCAAAGGATAAGATTGAGAGGAAAATTAAATTGCAAAGAAGTACACAGAGGGTTTCAAAGTTATTGCTAATGTTCCATTTTTTATAGGTGTATATGCCTATGGATTTTTTTAACTATTCTTTAAAATGTATATGTAGCCTATATATAAACATACACTATACACACATACACTTCTTTATAAACATGATGTGTTTCCTAATTTAAAAAATAATTTCAATACTTACCAGTCTAGACCAGGCTTTACTATGAATCATTCCTCAATTCTAGCTCATGAAATAAATCAAAATATTTTCCCATAACATATAGTTTTCTTCTTCAAGAAACATGACATTTTCATTTATTTATTCACTCAACTATTTATTGAGTAATTATTATATGTCAACTACTCCTTGGGCACCAGAGAGAGAAACAAAACTGGCACTATCCCTGTCCTCATCAATCTTACAGTTTAGATGCTGCATACAAAATACATATAGATAAATACATAAATACAACAAAGTGCTATCACAGAAAAGTAGACTATTGTAAAATTATACAAGGTGACTTCATTAAGTTGGAAATTCAGAGAAGGCCTCTCTTGGGATTTAATACAAGTTGAAACCTGAAGAGGTTTTAGTCAAGCAATAGGGGCAGGTGGTGTGCATTCCAGACAGAAAGTGGCATGTGCAAAGGACCTGAAGCAGGAAGGGGTTTAAAACGCTTGAGAAGCTACACTAAAGCTAGAGTAAGAAACAGAATAGCAAAGATGACCCTGTAGAGACAGACAGAGCCAGATTATGTAAGAATTTGTAGGCAGTGGTATTTTCAGTGAGACTGCAGGCCACTACTATACTTTAGGTAGGAGAGTAACATGGAGGAAGGCCAGAGGAAAAAACAGAGAATCCAGTAGGAGTTACTACAGTAGTTTAGTTGAGACTGCCAGCCAAGAGTTGACGGGTGCCTGAGCCAGGATGGTAGCAGGGAGGAAGAAAAGTATATTAAGGGAGATACAGCAGACAGGGAGTGGCAACAGAATAGATGTAAGAGGTGAGGTAAGGATGGCGTGAAGGAGTACACCCTTATTAAATGACAAATATTGAAAATCTGTCAATTGTCATATTTACAATATAGCCCTAGTTTTGATATTTAAAAGTATACAAAATTACTCTGAAAATAAGCTATCAAAAGGAATAAAAAACTATAATGGATTAAAACACACGAAATATATTAAAATTCATGAACTCATCACAAAATGGTAATACAAAAGACAGAGAGGGAGATAAAGTATATTAAAGACTCTAACATTGTTGGAAAAGTGGGAAAAAAAATGAAAGAGGTCAAGGATGCATGTTGTAATCGCTAGAGTTACCTCTAAATGAATTTGGAAATGTAATACATTAAATGCCAAAAAATGAAAAATATTTCATTGACCCAAAAGAAGAGAGAAAAATGAATATAAAATAAATCAATTAAATAAAAACAAAGAGTAGGGGCCAGGTGCGGTGGCTCACGCCTGTAATCCCAGCACTTTGGGAGGCCAAGGCAGGCAGATTACCTGAGGTCAGGAGTTCGAAACCAGCCTGGCCAACATGGTGAAATCTCGTCTCTACTAAAAATACAAGAGTTAGCCGGGCATGGTGGTGGGCACCTGTAATCCCAGCTACTCAGGAGGCTTAGGTAGGAGAATCACTTGAACCCGGGAGGCAGAGGTTGGAGTGAGCTGAGATCAAGCCACTGTACTCCAGCCTGGGCGACAGAGCAAGACTGTCTCAAAAAAAATTTTTTTAATAAAATAAAAATAAAAACAAAGAGTAGAGTGGTAGAAACATACTGCCATTTTACCATACATGTTAAAGTACACCACAAGGATGTTTCCAGAATGTGGGAAATGCTATAGGACAAACACCCTGATTTCTTCAAAAAACAAATTGCAAGGAAAACAGGGTGGGCGGGGGGAGGTTGCAGGTGAGGATCAGGATTGGCCAAAGTGTTAACAATCACTGATCCTGAATGATACACACATGGGAAACACCACACTACTGCCTCTACTTTTGTATTCATTTGAACTTTACTGGAATATAAAGTAGAAAGGGAGAGAGAGAAAATGGGAGGGAGGGAAGAAGAGAGAGAGACAGAGATGGTGGCAGGGAGGGAAGATCTCTGGATACTTATTGGCATATTTATGTGCAGAAAATGTTTTGGCAGGATATATTTTTAAATATTCAAGTGGTTATCTCTGGGCTAATGTGATCACAATTTTTAGAATGTTACAAATTCATCATCTCTAGGTGGGAAGATGACTGGTAACTTTTAGTCTCTTCTTGTTTAGCTATGTTTTCTAATTGCTTCTACAACGGGTAAAACAGAATGCTTGACTCAAAAATTGTTTAAAAGGATGGAAGAAAGACTGCCAAAACCCAAAAAGCTTCTCCCAACATAGATGTTGATGTGTAAATCTACATTTCTTAAACATTTCTGGGTTACAGCTCACAATGGACTGAATGTCTGTGTCCTCCCAAAATTCGTCCGTTGAAACCCTCATCTCTAATGGGATGGTATTTGGAGATGGGCCTCTGGGAGGCAAACAGGTCATGAGGATGGAGCCCTCATGATAAGATTTGTACCCTTATAAAAGGAGACCCGAGAGAGCTTGCTTTCTCTATCTCCACCAAGTGAGGACACAGCCAGAAGGCAGCTGTCTGCAAGGCAGAAAGAAGGTCCTCACCAAGAACCTGACCCTGCTAGCACCTTCATCTGGGACTTCCAGCCTCCGGAACTGTGAGAAATGATTTTCTGTTGTTTAAGCAATCCATGAAGGATTGCGTTGTAGGCAGACCAGACTAAGACACAGGCTCTTTGCAGAATCTGACAAAAGCTACTAACTCTCTTTCCAGAAAAATGCACAATCTTATAGAATTTTTCATACAATGTCAAGAAACTTTGAGATCCCTAATGAACCTATAGACTTTCTATGCTGTCAGTAGTAGTTAGAATAAAAAATTATAGCTGACATTTATTGCCCACTTGCCATGTGCCAAGCATGGCTCTAGGTGTCAACTCATTTAATCCTCCCACCAACCCTCCAAGATGGGCATTCTCATCATCCCCATTTTATAGATGAGGAAAGTGAGGACAGAGAAGATTAATAATTTGCACAGGGTCCGCTAGTTATTAAGCAGAAAAGCCATCATACAAACTTGGGCAGCCTGGCTCCAGAGCTCAGCTCTTAAGCAGCAAAATATGAGGCCACCCACAGAGTTGAAGTTAAACATGCCAAGCAAATATGACATCCTGAATCATGCTCTGGAGAATATATCTTCAAATTCAATTAACATTAAGTACCTACCATGTGTCAGACCCAACCAAACACATAAGCTCATCCAACCCTCAAAACAGTGCTGTAAGTAACTCGCCCCAAATACGCAGTTAACTGCTATAAAAACAGGAGTCTAGCCTGTCTTCTGACTCCAAGTTCAACATACCACAGCTGATTGCCTCTAAATTGGGGTGATGGTCCTGTTCCACATTACATATGACCTCCCAATGACCAAAATCTTTGTAAGGTAACTGGTTGACATCCAATTCAATAGGTTAAATCTGTAGACCCCAAAATTTGCCCATGGTGTAAAGCAATTCAGCATTTGAGGAGATTTTTCTTCATTACTCAGCTTTGGCCTGCTGAGACATCCTGGATGGATATGTGCTTCCAAAAGTTTGCACTTGAGTTTCATATGCAAAAATAGGATCATTTACATACACTGCAGATAATTGCTAAATGCTATAATACCACATTGCAATCACATGCAACATAGCCTACATAAATATGAACACACGAGTTACATGAGAGCTCCCCTAGTACTTACAGTTTCACAGTTCAAGCATCGAGTTTCATTGGTAAGCGTTCCCTGAAAAATCTCATGGACCCAGGTGAGTTCTGGTTTATTATTTTCTGCAGGTTCGTTCATGTTGCCATTTTTTAATTTTCCATTTTGTTTTTCCTGTTTCTTCTCCTCCTGCAGGATGTCCGCAATAGTGTTCAGCAAATAATTTAAAAATTCATGAGCATCCTGTTGCATGTAGTTATCAAAGAGATCTGGAAAGCAGAAGGTGGTTATTTCAGTCTCTGGTTCTTGAAAAGCAAATGGATGTAGTTAGTGTTACATGCCATACTTAATTTTTTTTTTTTTTTTTTTTTAGAGACGGAGTCTTGCTCTGTCGCCAGACTGGAGTGTAGTGGTACGATCTCAGTTCACTGAAACGTCTGCCTCCCAGGTTCAAGAGATCCTACTGCCTCAGCCTCCTGAGTAGCTGGAGCTACAGGTGCGTGCCACCATGCCCAGCTAATTTTTGTATTTTTAGCAGAGACCAGGTTCACCATGTTGACCAGGATGTTCTCGATCTCTTGACCTCATGATCTGCCCACCTCGGCCTCCCAAAGTGCGGGGATTACAGGCGTGAGCCACCTTGCCCAGAGCCCATACTTCAATTTTTATACTGAAAGGGTGAACAGGTATGGAATATAAACATACTCATCTCTACCGAGCAGCTTCAATGAGTAAGTTTCCAAAGAATTTTTTTAATTCATTTCCATTTTCCACCACGTACCAAAAACAAAATTTCCCGTATCTCCCTAAAGTCATCACATTTATATAAAACTACCAAAAGTTCTATTTGTTCTATAAAAGAACACAAGTTACTAGATAAGTTCCCTGATAAAATATGAATTTTTAATATGATGTAACTACCAATGATCAATTAAGTATTCATTGGGTAATTTATTCAGAACAACTAGGGTGTCTTCCCAAAGATCATATCAAACCCTGGACCAGCCTGGAAGCAGCCTAGATGAAACACAGAAGGGAGATGAGGGATATGTGTGAGCATGCATCTATCTGATAGTGTTCTGAAACCAAATACAAATGATTCCAGAAGCCTCCTGCTGCTCCCCGCCATAAGGACAAACAATCAAAAGATGAATGCAGCTGTGAACCTTCATTATTAATCACGTTCACAACTTGATAGAGTGCTCTGTTTCCTTCTCCACTCAAATTAGTTTTATTCTGGTATGTATAAACTGTAACTTCAAAATATAGCAATCAAATTAAAAGAGATTTTATAAAACAAATACCTGATTAACCATGCACATCTGATGAAGGAAGGCTGAAACTAAGATAAATAGTAATTGCCATAACAAATATCTTTATAGTCATAAAAACTGCCAATACAAAACTTCTGGAATAAGCACCTAGTTTCTACTACCTACTCCCCAAAAGAAGAAGATAGAAAAATCAGGACTTTTAAACATCATATAAAGCAATCAATTTGATATCCTTCAATTACCTTAGGCAAATGAAAATCAGAGGTATATTTAAAACAGTAGAGGCTCTGATTAGATAATAGGCACTTATTTTAGTCACCTATGACAAGTGTATAAGCCAGTACTATTTTATTCAATTATTGCATCAACCAATTTAGGCCAATGAGTATCCCACTCAGAAGGCTGCCTTGGACACTTTTCTCTCTTACAATGATACTGCCCAGAATGGAGAAAATAAAAAGGTCATTCTAAATTGGAATAATAAACGTGCATTTTTAAGCATCTTTCTGACCCAGTTTTGTTTTATGTTTACTGGGCAGAGAAGAAATGTTGTTTCTTAAAAAATGACACCGAGTAGTTAACCATGCTTATTTTCCCTTTTCGAAAAAATCTCAGCTCTTCCTTTTGAGGAGATAGAGAACCATCTATTCTCCTTATTTCAGAGGCTTAAACACATTATACTGCTTACTACTCACCATTCTCTTTTCTCAGCCTTGAAATGAACTTCTTTGGTGGGATGACGCCAACCTTCTTCTTCTGCGTGGCAATGCTGTGGAAAAGGTCCGCCAGGCACGTCAGCAAGTTTTCCTTCTTCTTTTGCTGGGCCTTGTATGCCAACACATTCTCCCGGAATGGACGGCAGAAGTACAACGCCTGAAGCACGGAGTTACAGTAGCATGTGTTTCCAAACTGCCAAGGGACAACAGGGATGGTTCAAGTCATTGCCTGGGGATGAGCCACCTCTGGAATAAGTAGTGAGGGTGAGAAGGTCCCCACTCCATGAACTGGCCTGGATGTCCCTGTATTGGAGTCTAGTTCACCATATCAGAAAACTAGTTAACTACTGTAAATACCAGTGACCATCTGATCCACAGAGAAATGAAGAAAAATGCACATCATTCTGGTGCTTCTCTAGCCCATCAAAGTCTCGAGAATGATAACAAGCACTCTGCCTCAATAAAGAGTCTAATGAGGCCTGCTGGTGCTTAAAAAAAAGAGAGAGAGAAGAGAAAAAAATCTACATAATGCAGAGACTCAGGAAAGCAGCTGGCTAAATAAAAGATGCACATTGCAATACATCAAAACTCCTACGACAGGGAAAATAAAAATCTGAATAAAAAAGAAATCCAGTAATTAGGAACCACTTGCTCGGGTGAAACAGCCTAAACTGAACGGGGGCTGGTTTTCGTTTTTCAATATTCCAGGGCTCCTGCCCACTGGCTCAGACCACATTTCCTCACTTAACCCCAAGCAACGCAGGCAAAAATATGCTGCCTCATGTCACTCTCCCAGCTTCCCACCCTCTGGACTTCTAAATGGCCCTTGATCTTGCCCCTGCCAAGGCAGCAATTGTGCCAATACCATACTACCCAAGTTCCTAGCCTGTAATCACATTAGGGCCCACCCAGTAACATTTTATACCTCTCACAAAGCATGGATACTGAGATTATTATTAAAGAGGGAAAACATCTCACTGATTTTCAACTGACTATAAGACCACCTCTATAGAAGAACACAGCTGAGACTATCACTTTAGAATTTTTTTGTGCACAATAAAATTTAAAGAAAAAAATTCTAAGGAAATAACTAACAAGATTAATAACAGATTACGAAATGCTATGTAGGATTGAAATAGAACATGAACACCTTCTCAAAACTGGTTGTTGGCTTGTGTGTCGTTTAGCCAAGAGCGAGACAGATGCTCTGCCATACTTAACATGACATTTCTACGTATGCTAAGATAGAAGGCTTCCTATTTTTATATTTTAATCTACTTTGACACAATTATGTAACAGGAGACAAACCTCTTTGTACAGAGACGCTGGAGCTTTCATAAATTACCATTCAAAGGGAACATAAATGAAGCTATTAATAAACACAGATCCCACAATCCTTACACAAACTAGGAAATGGCCTTAATTCTTTCTTTCTTTCTTTCTTTTTTTTTTTTTCCCCCTCTCCACAATCTGCATTTGTTATTTTTCTTAGCCAGGGCAGAATTCCCATGCCTTGAATAACTTACTTCACAGGGCTAAGCAGAGGCTTGTGCACAATGGCTAAAAGGTTTGTTTTAAAATTTTAAGTCAGCATTTCACCAACACAATGCCCTATATTCCAGGACTTAGCTTTCCTCCTTCCATTCTTTTCTCTTCTACTCAGTATCTCACCTTTCCCCAGACACCCTTCCGTAACACTTGGCCCCAATTCGGTGGATAACTCCTGGGAAGGGAAAGGAACTAACATTTACCGAGTGTCCACAGTATGTCTCAGCTTCATGTCAGGGTTTTAAATGGGCGCTCTCATTTACCCTTCATTATCACCCAAAGGGTAGAAGGCATTATGACCCCCATTTTACAGATGGGGAAATGGAGGCTCAGAAAAAGCAAGTAATTGCCCAAGATCACACAAGCTAGGGAGTAGCACAGGCAGAATTCAAACCGAAGTCTGTATTACATTAAAGCCAATGTTCTTCCTATTATGTCACGGGCAGCATTTACTTGCAGAGAATATTTCCAGCTTTCCCAGTGGAAATTACTACTTACCACACCTGGGCACTGACAGACTATGTTCAGCATAATTATTCAGAAAACCAATTGTTTATGAGTTAGTATTTGATGTCACTTAACACCTATATCACAGAGAAAAAGGATCAAGTGAGGAAGAAAGCTCATGAGGATGGAGGCACACCACCTCTACCGTGTTACTACTCCATTATCATCAACCTACCAAGGAAGCAGAGCTGCTGGGTCCAGCCTTCTACAAAGGAGGTTACTGCTGAGCACAAAAAAAATGAGGCCAGGAATTCTGAGATAAAATGGTCCCAGTTTTCCCTCCCAACCTGTCCTGCTTCAGGTACACCACCAACTTACACTGTTAAAGAAAGACACTGGCAATGTGCTGGTAACGTTTTTAAAACGCTGGTTGTACTGATGTAAACTTAAAGAAAGACTGGCTGAACAGTTCATCCAGAGGACACAGGGAGAACATATAAGAGCAGATTTGGGGCCTGGTGCGGTGGCTCACGCCTGTAATCCCCGCACTCTGGGAGGCCAAAGCGGGTGGATCACCTGAGGTCCGGAGCTCGAGACCAGCCTGGCCAACATGGCAAAACCCCGTCTCTACTAAAAAATCAGCCGGGCATGGTAGTGCACGCCTGTAATCCCAGCTACTCGGGAGGCTGAGGTAGGAGGTGGAGGTTGCAGTGAGCTGAGATTGCACCACTGCACTCCAACCTGGGTGACAGAGCAAGACTCTGTCTCAAAACAAAACAAAAAAAAAGCAGATTTGGCTACAAAGACTAATGAAGTTATTATGAAAGTTATGTATGCAAAGGAAATTCCTTAAAGCATGGGGGGGAAATGTAAATTTGACCCAAAATGCAATAATTAAATGTTTTTTGCTGGGACAACTCATACTTTCAAAAATAGGTTAAGTTGCCTCCTCCCCAACGTTGGCATTCTACTAAGGAGCATGACCAATCATTTAAAAATTGGCAGTGATAAAAATGCACTTAGAGTAGAGTTGCTTCATATACCCTAAAACATTTTATGAAAATAAAACATTTTACATACTTACATTGACCAATCCGAAATAGTGTTCATTGATTGGAAACTGCTCTGGACCAATGTCTTTTTCCAGAGCAGAGGCATTGGTGCCCTAAAAGAGAAAAATAGCAAAAGTTCTGTTGCATGTAAAATAGATGAAAAGTAAAATCATACTTAGAAGAGTCTACTATTGAGACAAGCATCTCCCCCGGTCAATATGGTATTTGGTGATGTTTGCGCTGAAGGAAAATGTGTCAGAAGTAAGGCAGAAGAGCAGTTAATAATGTCAGCCTTATTCTTCTCCTCATTGAACTTATTCATCCCCTCAAACCTACTCTACTTGACTTCAATTTTCTTCCAATTAGAAAAGAAAGTTTAAGATAGGCAAATGAACAAACAATCACCAAGAACTTCTGAATAAGGAACATGGGCATTTCAAACAGTCACAGCAGCTTTTGTAATATTTGATGGCATACAGAATCATATTACCACTATCAAAGTCAATGTCTTCATTTTAATAAAGATTTACTGAGCACCCACTAAGCCAGACACTGTTCTCTAGGTCTGGGCATGGATAACAGAACAATGAACTAAACGCATGATGCCTGCTCTCATGGAGTTCGCACTTTAGCAGATGAAGACAGACTGAAAGGAAAAGTGTGTTGGAGAGTTTATTTAAAAATAATAGTGCAGGGGCTAGGTGCAGTGTCTCACGCCTGTCAAATCCTAGCACTTTAGGAGGCCGAGGCGAACGGATCACTTGAGGTCAGGAGTTCGAAACCAGCCCAGTCAACATGGTAAAATCGCATCTCTACTAAAAATACAAAAATTAGCCAGGTGTGGTGGCAGGCATCTGTAATCCCAGCTACTCAGGAGGCTGAGACATAAGAACTGCTTGAACCCAAAGGCTGGAGGTTGTAGTGAGCCAAGATTGTGCCACTGCACTCCAGCCTGGGTACAGAATGAGACTCCATTGGAAGGGAAGGAGAAGGGGAATGGGAAGGGGAAGGGAGATGGATGGACGGAGGGAGGGAGGGAGGGAGGGAGGGAGGGAGGAAGGAAGGAAGGAAGGAAGGAAGGAAGGAAGGAAGGAAGGAAGGAAGGAAGGAAGGAAGGAGGGAAGGAAAATACTGCAATGGAGAAAAATAAAGTAGGAAATGGGGATGGGGAAGACAAGGAGTAAGGATGGGGGAGAGGCATGCAGGCTGTAGAGGGTGGATAGCAGCACCTTTATTTTTTTATTTCATTTTTTGAGACAGGTTGTTACTCTATCACCCAGGCTGCAGTGCAGTGGATTATGGCTTACTATAACCTCAAATTCCTGGGCTCAAGTGATCCTCCTACCTCAGCCTCCCAAGTAGCTGGGACTACATGTGCACACCACCATGACCAGCTAATTTTTTTTATTTTTGGTAGAGACACGGTCTCATTATGTTGTCCAGGCTGGTCTCAAACTCTTGGCTTCAAGCAATCCTCCCACCTCATCCTCCCAAAGTGCTGAGATTATAGGTGTGAGCCACGACGCCCAGCCTGCACCTTTAAATAGAGTGGTCAGGGAAGGCCTTACTGAGAAGGCAAATGTCCAAAGAATATTGTAAATAGTGAAGAAATACAAGTTAAAACCTAACCTTTCCCAAATGCATCAAATTGGTAAGCCACATGACAATCCGACATGATAACAGCTACTGGGTACACTTTCTATGTGCCACGGACTGTGCTATTTATGCTCACAACAATCCTGTGAGGTAAGTACTATTACTATCCCCATTGCACGGACAAGGAACTTAAGACTCAGAAGCATTTAAGAATCCACCTAAGGTCCATTGTAAGTGGTAGAGCTAGGACTTGAACCCAAGAGGCAGACTTGAGAGTCCACAATCATAAGCAAATGCTGTACAGAGCAATTCTAATATTAAACCTTTTGTTGAGTCCCATTAAGGGTCAGTTACTGGCAAATGATTATCATCACTCCATAAGACCTGAATGAGTCTTCTAGGATTAGGAAAAATGACCCAAGTTCAGTCCAATATGGTAAGTAGTTTGGGAAGCAGGTAAAATAAGACTCCATTTGTACCATCGACTCTATCATCATTCTAGAGAAGGCTCTGTCTACCTTCGCAGGCCATCATGGAAGACTAACAGCTCACAGAAACTCAAGACTTGAGAGACAGGTATTTTTAAATGAATAAGAAAAAAGTTTTGGCTGGACATGGTGGCCCACACCTGTAATTCCAGCACTTTGGGAGGCCAAGGTGGGCGGATCCCTTGAGCCCCAGTGGTTCGAGACCAGCCTGGGCAACATGGTGAAACCCTGTCTCTGCAAAAGATACAAAATTTAGCGGGACGTGGTGGCACAAACCTGTAGTTTCAGCCACTCAAGAGGCTGAGGTGGAAGGATCATCTGAGCCTGGGGAGGTAGAGGCTACAGTGAGCTGTGATGGCACCACTGCATTCCAGCCTGGGCAACAGAGTGATACCCTGTCTCAAAAAAGAAGAAAGAAAAGAAAAGAAGGAAAGGAAAGGAAAGGAAAGGAAAGGGGAAAGGAAAAAGAAAACGAAAGAAGGAAGGAAGGAAGGAAGTTTCATTTTTAAAAATTGATCTGCTGTTACTATTTATTCTGGACTCACAACTGGCATCTCCTCTCACAGAAAGAAATGACCAAAACATAACTGAGAACCAGTCAAAATGGCCACTTGTCCCTAAGTAAACACTAAATGCAAAATGACCCTCCTCAGACCACAGAACTACAGCAGAAATGGCACACAGCCTCCCCTCATCATAACATCCTTCAAATTCCACTTGTTTCCTACGTCCTTAATATTGTTCCACCAAACTAATAACTCCCTTTACCTGTCATCTGAGACTTAGAGTTCAAGGATCATTTGTGTCTAGGATAGTTTCCATGTTTTTTCATTAGTCACTGCCTTCACAATAATGGGACACTATATACAAGGCTGAATTTTTGAAATAACACATCAAATTACGGTAGGACTTTATGGTATAGACAAAAATCACTAAAAATTTTCAATAAAGTTATATCTCAAGCATAAATCAATGTAAATAATGCATATTAAATATACCCCCATAGCCATTTTTCAAGCAAAATTAGGATATATGTCTTAGAGCCCAGGAGGAATATCAGATATAAAAGTATAGCACATGGAGACAGATACCATTAAATCTTTCTTTATGAGGTAGCAACATATTCAAGTTAATCCATGATTTTTGCTATTTGGAAATTCTTAGGTTCGGTTTGCTTTTTCTACCTATCTTAATATTTTCCCATTTTGGGAGGCGGCAACCTGGAGGTGGAGGTCATGACTCATATAAAGGATGGCAACCCAGGGGCCAGTGTTCAAGAGAAATACGCTGGAGACAGAGGCCTGGCCCACTCAGGCAGGAAGCTGGGTGTACCACAGCACAGCACAGCACAGCGAAAAATCAAAGTGAGCTCTCTGTGCCTTCAGTGAAACCTTGCTCTACTCTGAGGTCAGCACTTCCTCACCACCCCTCAGGTTGAGCTTGCTTGGGTCTGGAAGGGTCATGAAGAGAAGTTTGCTGGGCCCTGATCCTTGGCGCTGCTTCTAGACCATGATACCCTCACCCTCTTGTAAAAACACTTCCCTTTCTTTTTTTTTCTTTTGAGACGCAGTCTTGCTCTGTCCCCAGGCTGAAGTGCACTGGCTTGACCTTAGCTAACTGCAACCTCCACCCCCCGGGTTCAAACAATTCTCCTGGGGCGGGCGCGGTGGCTCACGCCTGTAATCCCAGAGCTTTGGGATGCCAAGGTGGGCAGACTGCCTGAGATCAGGAGTTTGAGACCAGCCTGGCCAACATGATGAAACCCTGTCTCTACTAAAAATGCAAAAATTGACCAGGCATGGTGGTGGGCACCTATAATCCCAGCTACTCGGGAGGCTGAGGCAGGAGAATCACTTGAACCCAGGAGGCGGAGGTTGCAGTGAGCCGAGATCGTGCCATTGCACTCCGGCCTGGGCGACAAGAGCAAGACTTCGTCTCAAAAAACAAAAAACGAACAAACAAAAAAAATTCTCCTGCCTCAGCCTCCTGAGTAGCTGGGATTACAGGCACCCGCCACCATGCCCAGCTAATTTTTGTATTTTTACTAGAGATGGGGTTTCACCATGCTGGCCAGGCTGGTCTCAAACTCCTGACCTCAAGTGATCCACCTGCCTCGGCCTCCCAAAGTGGTAGAATTACAGGTGTGAGCCACCGTGCCCAGTCAAAACATCTCCCTTTCTGAGGTCTATAACTTCCACTACTGTGAAGCTCCCTCCTTGCCCCTCTTCTTGGCTGACCCCAGCTCGTGGAAGACCTACACTTATACTACAACTCTTACCATCCCAGGTGATTTCAACACCCATGTGGATGGATGAGCCATCCCACACATGCTCTCGCAGCAACTTGATGTCCTATTTTTCAATTGTCTTATTTCACTCCACTTTTTAAAATTCCATTCCACTTCAGCTACCCCTCCCATAGACACCCTGGATCTGGTCATCACCCTGAAATCCTCAAATGCAGCTGCCCACAATCTACCCAAACTCAGCTGTCAGCTGGCTGCTTCTACTTCTTCTTTTTTTTTTTTTGCCTCCTTATACCCTCCAGGCAATGTTACCACTGGCTTCTTTTAAGCCCACAGTCCTAGCCACACCTACATCTCTCCAGAACCTCTAGTCCTCTACTTTCTCATTCAGCTTTGAGTCTGTGGATAACGAATCCAGCTGCTCTTCTAAATAGCCCTCACCCTGCCCTTTGGCCATACATCTGGTAAGAAAGCCAAGCCAGTGTAAACCAAACATTTTCCTCTCTGAACATACACCCAGACAAATGTGCAATGCTAGAGGGAAAAAAGTCAAACAACCAAGCTGACTAGATTCACTGGAATGCCCCCATTTCAAGTGGCCCACAACAGGTCCCACATTCCAGAGTTTCTCCAGTGCATTCACTTTCCACTCCACAGTGCTCATTTCCAACGGTCCCCAAGCTCCTCAAAACCTTGCCATCCCCTTGACCTTTCTCACTGGCCTTCCACTCAACAGAAAAAAGCAAAACAAAACATAAACTGTTAGACAGGGACTCCCCCAACT